TAATATATGGATGTATAATATACCATTTATAGATAATTGTTCGATCGTTTCCGTATATTGTTTCAATAGTTTAGTATGAAATCAGGGACTGCGTGAACCCTGATGAATCCACGGCAAGATCCGCAAGGAACGATATTGCGTTTGAAACCTGCGAACAGCCCTGTTAGGTAAAATTAGGTGAGGTTGCTCTTGTTTGGATGACGAACATTTATAGGTATCGTGTTTATGACTTGGTTTGGAAACTTTTATGGCTGTATGAAAATTTGATGTATTCATTGTTTCATAGCAGCAGTGGCTTTGCTACGTTAATTATCCGAGATTTCTTATGAATAGTCGTCTTGCTCAATAGTTGATCGTTTAGCAGTTGACTATTAGGAGTGATTCTGTTAAGGCGGCAAGTAACGAAGCTTTTTCTGAGGGTGCTGAGTTCCCCATGGTTCACTTTCTCATGTTCTTTTTCTCTAAGTTAATATGAATGGCATAGTAATATTTAACATGAGTGTAGATCCTACCTTTAAAATGGCACTCTTGGCTGAGGGCATAGAAACGGAGATGTACGTTGCTCCTTAAGCTAAGTGTTTGCCATACTTTTAATGGCGTGGTAGTGATTAAATAAGGTCGTTCGTTCCCAACTTACTCAGTGACTCGTTCCTTGGCTGCAGCTAGGCAGATTGGGTGTTGACTGTAATCGATATTGTCTCGTTTCCAGACTTTGATAGTTCAGGTGAGCATTCCCTTTTATGACATACTGCGTCTGACATTTACCGACAGTTTGGACTGCTGTACCGTTGTAGCGACATTATTTGCGTTGCACTATCCTCTTTGCATTGTCGTATTTAGATTTTGCGTTCGTTTTATCTACGACTGTTTGGTTTGAATGGACCTTTGTTGCAGTGAATAGATTAGTAGCCTTTTGACCGTTGCGACTGCTTTTAGCGTAGTAAGTCTGTCATTGCGATATACAAGTCAAATAGTAGATGGAGTTTGTGAATTGGACGAAGTTCTGTTTTATCGAGGAGGTTCCTATGTCTCTTTAAAGAAAGGTAGACAACAGCTGATCGTTGAAATTCTTAGAAATAGAAATAATCCAATGAAGAATGAGCGATGAAAACGGTGTTGAGCAGCAATGTTAAACTGTATATCTTTAAGTCAACACACGCCACATAAATGATGAACGTTGATTGAAAGAACATGTTCCGTTATGCAAGCAGCAGAAATAACGTTTATTCGTAAGGTGACTGTGTGAAGAAATGTGAAAAGCTTTCGAAACCGACAGTCCAACATAACCTCGGCTGTGAGCTGCTCGTTGTCCACTTAGGGAGATCACAATTTCTATAGTTTGGGCATATGATCAAGGTGACGCAAGAAAGTTTCTCCCTGTGAATTTTGTACACAAACCAATGTGGAAGACCGCCCAGGGCAGATCGTGGGCCAGGTGAATCGATGACATCGAAGATCTGGCACGCATTTGAAGGTAGCAGATGGAACATACATGATTGGCGAACGAAAAGGCTTGTTGAAATTGCTGCCCCCTCACCGGAAATGAATAGCGGCATTATCCTGTCGGTTCACTTTCGTATCGGTTACACTGATAGCCTGAATGAGAGCAGAATTGACCGAAAACAATCTTAATTTGTTTAATCGTTGGAAACGAAGGCCTGCCAACGATTTTAGGCGTCTAGTGCAAAACAGATAATTGTTGAAAAGAAAGAAAGAAAGCAATGTGCAGAGTGACGAAAGAAAATGGGCGAGTTGGTAATCCTCGTGTAGCACATCCCGTACAAGAGGAAAACATCGCGGAGAGTTTAATGCATGGTTAATATTTTCACTGTCAAGGAGCATTTTCACAGACACCGAGGAAAATTTGAGGCCAAAAGTTCGGAATAGTATCTTTGCTTTTTCGATCTAGTTCCTGCCGTTTAATACTTAATCAGTCGGCAAATAGAACAAACAATTCTGCAGAAAATTCGCAGTTGACGCCTTGATCGTTTAGCTCGTTCGCCGTTGATGGTCGTTCCATTTTTCTCTGGTCTTCTGCTGTATACCATGCCTTATCGCGCGGTTTTAATTCTTTCTTTTATTACTACTAGCATGTGCTTCTGGGACAGTGTGACATTGTCCGATATGAATAACTTGAACAAATGAACTACGCTGTGCCAAAAATAAGTCCCGTTATTATGGGTTTGCTAGCAAACTGCTAGATTTCAATACATTCAATACGATAGCTTTCTCTTGTCACGTCTCCTGATTTAAATGACGTATAACACCGTCTTCTTACTTATCGGCGGTATTGAAAACTAACCGTTTCCTACCAAACCCATAATTACGGGCTGCTTTATTTTTTGGTATATATGCCTCTGGACTGAGATACATTTATTACTGTTCGAATACGTTTATGTTCATATCAAAGGTTTCTGTTTGTGTTGCTGTTTTGCACCAATGCACTGCTGATGCTAAAATATCACCAGAACCGTCTCTGGTTACTAGATAGTGCGCTACGTCGTGTAAATTCGCATAAATGACAGGAGAGTGACCTGTAATCCTTTCTCTTTTGATACCAGATTGAAGCGGCGTAATGGCACGGTCCCCTCGCTTCTAGTCTTCTAGGGAATTATTTAAGCAGACCACAGCTCATTTGATTTGAGCCTTGTAGTGCGTGAATGCAGAACCGCATCACTAGGCACGGTCGAACAAAGGCTTGTTCGGAAACCTGCAAATATGCCACGATCGATAGGCATATTTATACAGAAAAATCAACAACAGTGTAGTTTCTAAAGTTTTTCCGTCGTTCGTTTAATAAGCGAACATTCACCAGGTTGGCGTTCAACAACGTTATGGAGTAGCAGGTGTCGACCGGCCGATTTTAAATTTCTTGACGTTTGAATTATAATCAAGTAGACAGTAACATTTCACAAATAATAATGGAAATCAGGATAAACAGGTCTGCGATAGGTACTTTAAATTTAGAAGCCAGCTAGTCTCATAGTTGTCATGGCAGACTTCTACATTGCAACATGATGCGGTAAATGAATTTCTGTGTAACAGTTTCTGTAACTTTCTGGTTTATTGCGTTTTCAGAATAATCTATGATCTGCATCTAATACTGTTTGCCTTGTATATCTAATACTTGTTTGTTAAATAAAATGTTTAACTAGGTTAGAATGGGATTCTTCTCCCCTTACAAACGTTCTACAGATTCGTAACATCATGTTTTAGCTTTTAACATACTATGCTTTATTATTGTATACTAAATCATAATCCTGTTTGTTAAGCAAGGTTTTGCTTTCGGGGCGGCCTTACTTTCCGACTTTGCGCCAATTAGTACAAAGTATCGATGCATATCTCTGTTGTTAAACAGATGAATTTTTAGGACGTAGTAAACTTTGGCAGGTTTGCAGATCATCGATGGTTGCTCAATGAACAGCTTAGGGCGTGAGGCCTGACAGGTGGTTGCTGCGTTCAAATATGCACAATGGTCTATAAACGAGGTTCAGAAGGCTATTCGCTGGCGGAGCGCCTGCCCTTCGCGGTGCTCAGCAAAATATTCGCCCACCTGTCTCTTCATGACCTCTATTCGTGCCACACGGTCTGCCGACACTGGTACACGTACCTTGCGAACGACAACGCGGATGTGTGGCAGTGCAAATGTCAGAAGCTGGTGCCCGTTTACGCCGTGACCGACCCAAAGCTGTTCGCTGAATGTTCCTCTCCAAAAGCAAAACTGCGGTGAGGCATTTATTCGTACATTCGGACTGTTGAATATGTATTGTGTAATAATGCCATCTCTTATCAGGTGCAAACTTGGGGTCTATGTCTGGGAAAGCAAACAGTAACCTAAATAACAGATGACATGCCATGGAAGAACTTTTCCTTAGCCATGTGAACCTCATGTAAACCCTGAAACGGTTGGCAAACGGTGCAGTAACCGGGAGGATTTCATAGATCTCACTAGTGGCTTCTGCATCCTCTACGATGTAGTCACGCCGTCCGTTGCTTCCAGTTGAGTTTCCTTTAAGTCGGGTATTGCAGCACCTGCAATGCATGGGTGCAAAATCACATCACTCAACTTGGTCGAAAGGAAACATGTTCAATCGCTAAGAAATATACCTTGATCAGTAAGCTTATATATGAGAGAAATACACGTGATAGGTTGGGTTTACTACAAAGAGCTAGTTTTTGAGATGGTAGGGTGGCATAACTCAGCGACTCTTATGTAGTGCGATTGCATTTGTATAAAAAATTAGTTTTTGTTAATAAATCCAGAATATCTAGGTTATTTCTCACTCTTCACTCTTTTTTTGCACCATTTAGTTCATTTTTGTCGAAAAGAACAGTATCACTATTCAAAATCCAGATGGAAGGATTCGATACTGTCTGCCATACTAATCTGTTGAAAGCATGGTGATATCTTTGCCCAACTACTCTACCCTCGAAGTCAGAGATGACGGCTAGATTGAAATATTGAAGTTAAACGGACGATATTGAGAAATGGGGAGAAAAAACATCTTTCGCATGAATGGACGGTCAAGGCCGGCTAAATGGGGTGTAAAAGCATTGCTTATCGTTCACTTTCAACAGGGGATAACAGTTTTACGTCAAGCGTGCCTTTGCAATTTAGCTGTTTGTGGCGATGCAAGTGGTAAATTTTGTAATCGTTGTGATGTAACACATTTATGATATTTAGTTTCTGGTTCGGCGCTGATCTCCGTCTGGATTTCAGTGGCTTCAGTTATTTTTGGGCGTTTTATACAGACAGAATGATGCAATTATGGCACATCAGATAAGGTTTCCACGGGAACATTACCAGCCGTAACAACTCACATACGGGAACTGGAATATCGCACGAGAGGAAAAGAGCAGGAACTAGTTGAGAAAACCGTCGACTTGATAAGGTTGAATTGCCGTCAACTAATTACCAGAGTTCTGAAATTCTAAACCTTTTCCGATGGAAGCTTTTCTATTAGGTGCAAATTCCACAATTCCCATGAGGCCCGTGTTGGTGCTGTGGTAGAACCCAACCTGGTTGACAAAATCGTTGAATTGAAGCCTGTCAGTCGAAAAGTCACAATCATTCTGACTAAAGTTACATCAGGCTTAAGCGTTGACCTCGTTACAGATTTGCGCGTCCAGTTTGGAGGAAGAATATGAGTCCTTTCTTGAGAAAGTGGAGTATGCTCTGCACGAAGTGCGGACAACGCAATTCCTCATTCTAATGGGGGGCGATTATAATGCGTGTCGAAGCAGACACTGAAAAGTGGAAAGGAGTGATTGGAGAGAACAACCCAGCGACCTCAACAGTGACAACATGAGGTTGTTGCGGTTTTGTGCAAAAAATGGACTTCCAGTATACCTGGTACTGAGAAGCTTGTGCACACAGAAGTCGATGGGCGATTTGATTGTCGTATGATCTGTCTTACGGCACTCTGTAATGGTTGTTCGCGTTAAGAGAGGCGTAGAGCTGTTAACCTTGTTCATTACCACCTTTTTGTTGACACGCTGTGCTGTGAGAGATAGACTACAATGCGAAGATCTGGTGGCAGAAACAAATAGGAAACTTATCTTCGGCGGATACGAGAGCGAAACAGCAGACAACATGAGTTTGGATAGATCTCCGTGATGACCGTTGATGTGGAAACTCTTTAAAAGCGGCTTACTCGGAGCTATTGCTGAATAATGCGATTTCAGACAGGTTGGCTTGCCGTCTGCAGGTCAGAAACGAACCTCCTAGTGGGCACAAGAAATTCAACCGGCTGTCACCGACAAGGCTACATTCAAGAGATGGTTTGAAAAAAAGTGCCTTCAACTCCAATGCAGTACACAGAAATGCGCAAAGCCGCAAAGAAACCAGTGGCCAAAGCAAAACCTGATTCCTGGTAAAAGTTCGGTGAGATGCAGGAGTCGAATTTCTAGATGGCAAACTGGGTACTTTGGCACCTGCTACACTGAACCATCCGCCGCCTCTGCGATGGAAAGAAGGTCACTCAGAGAGACCTAAAGGATAAGATCGGAGCCTTTATATAAAGCAATACGATATACTTCGGCAATGGACAGAATAATTTGAGTAACTGCTTAACCCTGAGCAACCGCTGAAGACTCGCCTGACGAACAGCAGGCAACGGGTATTTGTCTTTCAGTAGACGAAGTCATGCGAGCTGTAAAATGGAAATTGGCAAGGCGTCTGGAATCGATGGAATCGGCCATGAGCTACTTAACGCTTTAGGCGAACAAAGAATATTGTGGTTAACACTGTCTGTCAAACTGAAATGACTACGGGGAAGACACTAATGGATCACAAAACTAGAATATTAATGCCGCTGTTCAAGAAGGGAGACCATAGGGAGTGCTCCAATTATCGGGTATTACCGTATTGAGCGTCCAACGAAACTTTTACGGAAAGGTGCTAGAAATAAGGTACTGCACAGTAACTTATTCTAAGATCCAAGAAGAGCAATATGGTTTCACGTCATGAGCATGTATTTGCCTTGCGCCGGATTGTTGAAAATTTGTGGGAGTTTGCTCATCCTGTCTGCATGTGCTTTGTGGACCTACGGAAGGCCTAAGACCGGATCCTGCGCAGCAATCTGTGGGCATGCCTGCGAAAATAAGGGATCGATGGCCAGTTGTTACAAACCATCGACGCTGTGTTTATAGTGCGTGCTGCGTCACTGTAAATGATGTTACGTTATAACCTTTAAGTCTTGGCAACGGTCTCTGCAAAGGCTGCGTTTTGCCTCCTGTTTGTGTTATACATGGATAGGGTAGTTAGGCGCACCCAGGGTGACGAGTGTATTGTGGGAGGTTTACAAGCGACGTGTTTGCCGTTTGCGGATGACCTTGTATCGTTGGCATCTTCAAAATCTGATTTCCAGCGCTCTCTGGAAATTTTGCAGCTGACTGCGATGTTTTTCGCATTCGTGTGAAGGGCGAACATTAGTTGTCCTCAGCACTCTGCAGATAATCAGAAAACAGTGGAACAGGTGCAGAAGTTCACGTGCTTCAGGGTTGTGCTTAGTGTTAATGGGGAATGGGAGGAAGAGGTGATTCGGCGAATTGGAATGTCTAGCGGGGTTCTCCTTTAACTAACTAGTCCCAACCCTTGTAACTATTTAAGAGCTGAGTCTGTAGACTATGTTGTCTCAGCCGAACTTCATTCCCATGTTCTGCTATGGTCATGAGTCGTAGGCTCTGACTCCATTA